GAGTGAAATGAGAAAAGAGAGAGTGAAGACAGAAAGGGGAGGGAGGAGACAGGGAAAGGAGACAGTGAGAAAAGAGAGGGAGAAGAAGGAGGGAGAGAGTGAAAAGAGAGTGAAGAGAAAGAGGGGAGGGAGGAGAGACTGAGGAGACAGGGAAAGGAGAGAGGGAGAGTGAAGAGAGAGAGGAGGCAGAGAAACAGAAGGGAGAGAGGGAAGACAGAGAGGAGAGAGGGAAGCGGGAGAGAGAGAAGAGAGAGAGAGAAACAGAAGGGAGAGAGGAAGGGGAGAGGAGAGAGTGAAGAGAAACAAGAGAGTGAAGAGAGGGGGAGAGGAGAGAGAAGAGAGGGAGGAGAGACAGAGGAAGAGGGTGGAGAGAGGGGAGGGAGGAGAGAATAAAGAGAGAGAGGGGAGGAGGGAGAAAGTGAAAAGAGAGAGGAGAGAGTGAAGAGAGAGGGAGCAGGGAGAGAATCAGAAGGGAGAGAAGAGGGAGGGAGGAGAGAGGGAGAGGAGAGAGTGAAGAGAGAAAAGGGAGGGAGAGAGTGGAGGGAGAGGAGAGAGAAAGAGGGAGGAAGGAGAGAGTGAAATGAGAAAAGAGAGAGTGAAGACAGAAAGGGGAGGGAGGAGACAGGGAAAGGAGACAGTGAGAAAAGAGAGGGAGAAGAAGGAGGGAGAGAGTGAAAAGAGAGAAAAGAGAGTGAAGAGAAAGAGGGGAGGGAGGAGAGACTGAGGAGACAGGGAAAGGAGAGAGGGAGAGTGAAGAGAGAGAGGAGGCAGAGAGAGAGGGAAGACAGAGAGGAGAGAGGGAAGACAGAGAGAGAGAAACAGAAGGGAGAGAGGAAGGGGAGAGGAGAGAGTGAAGAGAAAGAAGAGAGTGAAGAGAGAGGGAGGAGGGAGAGAAACAGAAGGGAGAGAGTGAGGAGACAGGGAAAGGAGAGAGTAGAGAGAGGGAGGAGGGAGAGAATGAAAAGAGAGGGAGGAGAGAGTAAAAAGAGACAGAGTAGAGAGTGAAGAGGAGGGAGTAGAGAGGGAGCGCCCGTAGGCTGGGGCAGGTCTCCACATGAACAAGTCTCCGTTTGGGCAGATCCCTCCACAGGTCAAAGTCGAGAGCAGACCCCCCCCCCCCAACTCCAGGTATTTTTGTGATGAAGAAACAACATGAGTCCAGAGCTGGTGCAGCCTCTGCAGCTCAGCGAGGGAATTCTGGATGTTCTGAGCTTCCACATGACGCCCGTCCAGATACTAAATATGTGTAAAAAGTGACGAGTAGAATCTTCCAGTAGAAATGTTGAGTGTTCTGTCCCCCGCTGTGGCCGTGATGGATACAGCGAACGTACACTCACAGTTACACCTGAGCTTATACATCGGAATATTTTGCAGACTCTTTGAAAATAAAGGTCATGTTTTGATTAACTGTATTAAAGCTGAATTAGTGTGAGAGGAGAGAGAGTGAGACCACAGACAATTATCAGACCTCAAAGCAACACTGGAACTTCAACATAGTCAAGATACATTCAAATATATGCATGTTTTTTTCATTTTGGTTGAGTTAATGACACGGAAAAATATTATCTGAGCAGGTTTGCATCTCCACAAACGTGACTCTTATTTGGTCTGGAGGAAGGCCGTCTCGTGTTTGTTTCCATAGAAATGTTGTTTCTTTGGCTATAATATTCCACAGTATGGATTAATACTCTAGCCAGGCTGGCGCCACCTAGTGCCTCTGCTCAGTTTCATTTCTCTCCAGTGACTAGGTCAGGAGTCAGAATACACTAGATGGTTTGCAAGAACTCCGGACGTTGTAGACCGCACACTGGCCAATCAGCGATGAGCTGAACTGAAGTTGCAGTAGCAGAGTGCATACGCTCTCCTCCTTTGGATTTCCTTTGTCAAATACAAACATTGCATTTTGCTTTTATTGCACCTTTAATCTGCAAGTTCATCTCGCAGAAACGACAATGATCATTGACAGACATGTTCACTCTATGCTTGGTTTGCTGTTGTGCCGGTAATTACTTGGACACCACTGATCGTTCCAGCACATTACATACATCATGACCAAATATCAGCGATTGGTTAAATAAATAAGTACCCGCCTACCGTCGAGCGAACGAATCCTGATGCTGCGAGGTCATCAGCCAAATAATACTGTAACTCATTCCCATGAACAATATTCCAAAGCATGGATTTAACTTTTTGTTTCCATGACCTTTTATGCAGTGCTGGTAAGCCCACATTATATTTCTATTTTCCCTTTATTTAGCAACAGCAGCAGCACTTTGAGCACTTGTGGACAGAGAAGAGAGACAGATCTTCTTGTGCACAGACTGTACAAGTGACATAGGGCCCTGGGGCTGCGAAGGGCCCCAGATCCCAATTAATTCTTCCCAATTTAGATTACTGTAATATCATTTATCAAAACCACAACTTCTATCCTCCAGCCACTCAGTGTTTTCTATAACAGTGCAGATTTATTCTCCGCTGTCCCTCCAGAACTCACCACTGTCAACGTCGACTTCACTGATTATTATTTATCTCTAAATGCTTCATCTCAGTTATCCTGAATATCTCAAACAGTATTTAATTCCATTCAGATCCTCTTACAGTTTATGTCACACAGATCAGATATTTTTTGTTGTGCCAAGAGTCAAAAACAAATAGGAAAACACTTATTTAACTATAAAGCTCCCTCTGAATGCTCTGGATCAATATTTACAGAACCCGTGTCATTGTTATTGGTCATTTTGTTGAATTTTGTTGTTCATCTTGTTGTATTTTGGGGCTATATTTGTCCAGATCATTTTATTTTATTTAGTTTGTCTTCATGCAGTTACAACAAACAGGGTTCTGGTTTGCTCCTCAGAGTAAATTTCACTTTGTTGTTGGTTAAATGGGTTTGTACAATGCTTCACACTGGGGATGATCTAAAGCAGGAGTCAGCAACCTGCGGCTCTTTCATCCTTCTGCTGTGGCTCCCTCTGACTTTGAAAATAAGTAACGAGTATTTAATTACAACGTATTTTTAATTTAGTGAGTTCGTTCTTAAATGTAATTGTAAATTTATAGATAATAGTACTCTTGTAACGTTCAAATAAAACATTTTAAATATTTTTGTTGCTCAAAATAAGCGTCTCAGCTGCTGATGTGCGACACAGTGCACAGATCTGCAGCCCAGACTTACCCACACCTACACCAGCAGCACGATTTATTGAACCTTTCGACCCCTCGTAGGTAAAAGCAAAGTTTCTGAAGAAAACAGAACATTTAATGCTTCGTGGGCAGATTCATTTGCTTTCACGGCTGATGAGACTGGTTTACACGTGATAAAATACTGACGGAACACAGAAGCAGACTTTTTTTTTTAATTTAATTTAAGTTTGGATTTTAATTTCCTAAAACAAGGACTCAAATTGGCTATTTCATTTAAAAGTAAGCGTCAGCCAAGTGTCTTTTATTTTGGATTTTAAATGTTTTTGGTTCATGCAGAAATAAAATTCTGGGTTGTCTGTAGCATTTCATAGATTTCATAAATGCAACACACTATAGTCTTTTATACAGAGAACACAGGTTAAAAAAAGTGATATGCAGTGTGTTGAGTCCAGTGTTGGGAAGGTTACTTTTAAAATGTATTCCCCTACAGATTACAGATTACATACACCAAAATGTAGTTTGTAACGTAATCCATTAAATTACTTAAAGTGAGTAACGTAATCTTAATATTTTGGATTACTTGATTTGCTGTAGAGAAGCAAAGACGAGGAAATCTTCACCTAAGATGTTTTGTCTGATAAAAGACAATGAAAAGCCTGGTTTAGTCCTGGTTTAGTCCTGGTTTAAACCTGGTTTAGACCTGCTTTAGACCTGGTTTAGACCTGGTTTAGACCTGGTTCAGTCCTGGTTTAGACCTGGTTTAGTCCTGGTTTAAACCTGGTTTAGTCCTGGTTTAGTCCTGGTTTAGATCTGGTTTAGACCTGGTTTAGTCCTGGTTTAGACCTGGTTTAGACCTGGTTTAGACCTCTTTAGTCCTGGTTTAGTCCTGGTTTAGACCTTTTAGTCCTGGTTTAGTCCTGGTTTAGTCCTGGTTTAGTCCTGGTTTAGACCTGGTTTAGACCTGGTTTAGTCCTGGTTTAGACCTGGTTTAGACCTGGTTTAGACCTGGTTTAGACCTGGTTTAGACCTGGTTTTAGTCCTGGTTAGTCCTGGTTTAGTCCTGGTTTTAGACCTGGTTTAGTCCTGGTTTAGTCCTGGTTTAGTCCTGGTTTAGTCCTGGTTTAGACCTGGTTTAGTCCTGGTTTAGTCCTGGTTCAGTAATGGTTTAGACCTGGTTTAGTCCTGGTTTAGACCTGGTTTAGACCTGGTTTAGACCTGGTTTAGTCCTGGTTTAGTCCTGGTTAGTACCTGGTTTAGTCCTGGTTCAGTAGGTTTAGACCTGGTTTAGTCCTGGTTTAGTCCTGGTTTAGTCCTGGTTCAGTAATGGTTTAGACCTGGTTTAGACCTGGTTTAGTCCTGGTTTAGTCCTGGTTCAGTAATGGTTTAAACCTGGTTTAGTCCTGGTTCAGTAATGGTTTAGACCTGGTTTAGTCCTGGTTTTAGTCCTGGTTTAGCCCAAAATGTGAAAACAGGAAAATACCTCTGTGTAATCCATATATTTCAACAAAGTAACTGTAATCCAATTACCACTCACTGAAACAGTAACTGTAACTGAATACAGTTACTCATAATTTGTACTCTGATTACTTAACTCCGGTACATGTAATCTGTTACTCCCCAACACTGGTTGGAGTCAAAAGGGTTTTGTTGCTCCAGGTGTTTTCTGTTTTTCTGTGGGATGTTGCAGACTCCTGATCTAAAGACAAAAGTAACATGAACCATCTATAAACAGAGTCATTTTTTTGTGATGTGTGATTCATGACATCGATCCTGCTCTACTTTAAACTTCCACAGGTTGTAGTAAATAAATAACTCACAAATCTACATGACTGACTGTGTGTAAATGCTGTGTGCAGGTGCTGAACTTGGTCCAGTCCTACGTCACCCTGCGCGTCCCTCTACACGTGTCCTACGTGTTCCACTCTCCGGTGGGGGCGGGCGGCTGGCAGCACTTCGACCTGCAGTCCGAGCTTCGCCTCACCTTTGTGTACGACACCGCCATCTTGTGGAGGGACGGCATCGGCAGCCCCCCGGAGGCCGAGCTGCAGGGTGAGAGCTCGGGCTTTTTTTTTTTTTTTTTTTTTTACGTGGGACCTGAGACCGTGTAAAGATAAAAATATGACTCGTACTGTTCCCGTGTAGGAGCGCTGTACCCCACCAGCATGAGGATCAACGCACAGGGACGCCTCGTGGTCAACTTCAGAACTGAGGCTCGCTTCAGAGGACTGTTCGTTTACTCACATGGAGGTATGACACTTATTCTGTTATTGCATTCAAGATTTGATCATAAATAACCCAAAATATTACAGCTCAGATCTAAGTGGAGGCGACTCTGTTCTAATGCATGAATTTTATGGTATTTTAAACATCCATTATTGCTTAATTAAAAGTATTAAAGGTCCCGTATTATGCTGTTTATGTTGTGTCCTCATCAAAGACAGACCTGGAGTTATGTTTTGTTTTACTCACACACGTTTAACACATAAACTCTGCATATTTAGACTGAATTCTTCCCTCAGACTTCTCTCCACCTTGTGAAATACAGGTGTTTTTAAACTCCATACACCTTCCCCAGAATAATTATTGGATAATTTCAGCCCTGGAATTTCCAATCTCTTCTGAACAAAAGGTAAAAGGCAGATGTTAACTTGAAAACTACCGCTTCATGACATCACAAGGTGGAACAGAGCATTTTGAGTTTTGGAGATATAGACAGTCTTATAATAAAGGATTACTCAAACATGTGTTAATGAAATAAAACACAACTCCAGGTGTGAGAAGTTAACAGCTTTATGACACGACTGAAAGCTTAGAAGAATACATTGTGTGTAATATAGGACCTTTAATGCCATACTGTAGTGGTCAGACTGGTGCCAACTAGTGCCTCCGATCAATTTAATTTCTCTCTGGCGACTAGATCATGAATCAGAATACACTAGACCAGGGGTGTCAAACTCATTTTGGTCCGGGGGCCGTATCCAACCTACTTTGATCCCAAAGGGGCCGGATCAGAAAACTCATAGCATATATACCCCAAAAATAGCAATAAGTTCAAATATTTGTGCAGAGAAACACAAATCTATTACGGAAATCTTTTTTTAATTGATGAACTCTTTGCATGCAATTTCAACACAATGTTTTAATGTTAACTTTTATGCAAATTGGAACAAGTCCATTTTTCTTGGAAAATCCTGCACTCGGCTCCACTTTTCTCATTTTTGTTATTTTTCTGATGAGGGTGTCACGGTCAACAGTCAAAACGATCGTCCTTTAAGAGCGTTTGGAAAGAGACAAGTCTTCATTTGTGCTGCTCTGGTGGGAGGGGCCACGTACAGAGACTCTGGAGATGCTGTTATGCTAAGCAGCCCAGAAAATTACCAATATTTTAATAGAAAATTGTATTAAAATATTTTAGTAGAAAATCAGCCGAGGGCCAGATTAAAGGTCTTGGAGGGCCGGATCTGGCCCCCGGGCCTTATGTTTGACACCTGTGCACTAGACGGTTTGCAAGAAGAAGTACTAGATCGGGTACCAGCCAGTCAGTGAAGAGACATACATTCTGTGTTGTCAACGATTCCCGAGATCGAGTATTTAAAGCCGGAACAAAGAGAATGTTTGGTGAATTTTATCGAGGGGAAAGACGTTATTGCCCTTTTTCCTACGGGATTTGGGAAAATCTTAATATACCAGTTAGCCCCGTTAGCGACGCATTACATACATCACGACCAAATAGCAGCGACTGGTTAAATAAAAAAAATACCCGCCTACCGTCGAGTGACTGAATCCTAATGCTGCGAGGTCAGACAGTTTCCAGGAAGTGAAACCAGCTGATGAATCAGACTAATACTGTGGAACATTCCTGGTAAAACATTGACATCTCCATGGCGCAAACAGGTGAACGTTGTTAATGTTGAAAGTACAATATAAATTGAAGACATTATCATCATGTTTAGTAACTAATCTGTTTAGTAACAAAAGTGAACTTTTGTGATTTTGTGACGTAGCGTCGCCTTTGACCTCCATGGTGATGTGTGCGGATCATCCCGGTTTGACCTTTAACCTGACCCTGGTGAGGAGCGAGCCCACGTACAACCAGCCCATCCAGCAGTGGACCTTTGTGTCAGATTTTGCAGTAAGTCCCGATACTAAACTGCAAAAAGTTATACTCTGTCTAGACATGTTGTAATGATTTAAATTAAGAACATTTTACTTTTATTTGAGTTCAACTTGACAAGTAAAATGATCTACCAAGCAAAATCGATTTTGTAAGTGCAAAAAGTTGAGTGAAAGAAGATATATTTTCATATTTTAACTGCAAAAAGTCTTGTTCCATTGGCAGATCATTTTACTTGTCAAGAGAAATTTACTCAAATCATGATAAAACTTTCTCAATTCAAGTAATATTAAGTTGGCAAGATTTACTACTTCAAATACTACTACAACTACTTCAGAGAGACTTTGCGGTAAGACCAGATACTATAGTATATCCATAACAATATTTACAGAAGCCGAGAGGGGTCACAACTAACGCAAACGCCGCAACAAATACAAATGCGACAACACAACAAAAAGCCACAACAAACCAAAAAAAGCTACAACGGAAATGACGGCGGGACTCTATTTTAATGCAAACGCCACAACACAATCGCAAATGCCACAACACATCAAAAAGCCACAACGGAAGTGACTGCGGGACTCTATTTTAATGCAAATGCCACAACACAATCGCAAATGCCACAACACATCAAAAAGCCACAACGGAAGTGACTGCGGGACTCTATTTTTCGACGGACCGATCAAGCAACAAGTGAAGAAGAAGCGCTACAACTACAATCGGTCGTAAAATAGAGTCCTGCGGTCACTTCCGTTGTGGCTTTTTGATGTGTTGTGGCATTTGCGTTTGTGTTGTGGCGTTTGTATTTGTTGCGGCGTTTGCATTAAAATAGAGTCCCCGCGGTCATTTCCATTGTGGCTTTTTTTGTTGTGTTGTCGCATTTGTATTTGTTGCCGCGTTTGCGTTTGTTGTGACATCTCTCGGCTTCCGTAAATATTAGCTTTAATCAGTGATATAAAAAGTACTGAAAATTTGTACCCGGGTAAAATTACAGTTACAGTTCGCGGCTAAAAATGTCTCGGTTACAAATGCAAGGGACGTAAGGATCAGCCTTAAAGTAGAACCTACACAACAAACGCTCCAGTCTTGTACTTAACAAGATTTGAACAAAACATACAGAAAGATTTGTGATAACTAATTCCAGGTCTGATTTATTCAAGTTTTAACTCAAAGCAAAATTTTAATTTTTAGGCAAATTTCAGACAGATCTAGTTTACGCAATTTTTTTGTATCTAATGTGTCAACTAAAAGAAACAAGACATTTAAATCTGGCTCTTTTCAGTTTTTACACAGATAAATCCATATTAAATCCATATGAAAACATTACATGATTAAAAAAAAAAAAAAAACAAAAAACTTTCATTTATGTGAGTAAATTACAGAAGAAGTTTCAAACTGATATCACATAATACTTGGAGCTCTGATCATTAAGAGGAAACTGCAGTGTGAGGTGTGTTTGAAGAGTTTATTTGCTTTAATGGGACAGTGCCACATTAAGAAGCATCTGAACAAATATAAATATGACAGATTAGAGCCACAAAGTGACAATCTCACAGCAGTGAGACAGACAAATCAACTTGAGGTTCTAATTATACTCAGTTTCCAATAGGCTATACATTAAAAGAAAGTGCAATTACCAAAAAATCCACTCAGTCACAGTAACATTTGAAGTTGGTTTCTTTGGTTTTCATTACACATTACACATTACACATTACACGTACATATCATACAGAACTCTTCCTGATGTTCCTGTTCCTTGTGCAGGTGCGGGATTACTCTGGGACCTACACAGTGAAGCTGGTCCCCTGCACGTCCCCTCCCAGCCTGGAGTACACCCTCCCCCCTGTGTGCAACCCCCGAGAGCCCGTGACCTTTGACCTGGACATACGCTTCCAACAAGTGAGAGAAAAAAGATCTGCTTCTGTGTTTTTCAGACCGTACACTCTGTCATATTTATTACTGTGGTGGCCAATAGTTAAAAAGCTTTGAAACCATGAATACAGAAGTTCCCTTTAGTCTCGTGGTGCTGACAGTTGTGCTGCTTTGTGACATTTTAACATGTGCTTTTAAATGAAGACAACGAAACAGCTGTTGGAGTGTGTGTTGTTGTCTTGTGAGCCCCACGTGTGAGTCGAGGTAAAAGCCCCCTCATCTCAGTTGACGGTCCTTCCTCATTTGAGGGGGACGCCACACATTTTTGGTTGTAGGAGCTTTGGAGGTTGCCAGGCTGGTTCCACCAAGTGCCTCCATTCAATTTCATTTCTCTGCAGCGACTAGGTCAGGAATCAGAAGACACTAGACGGTTTGCAAGAACCCTAGAAGTTTTCAACTGCGCACCGGCCAATCAGTGAAGAGCTGTGAAGCCATGACGTCAAACTCAAGTGCCTGTCTGGGTCCCTTTTGTGGTTCAGCACAACAGTAAACAAAGCGGTCGAGATGGATATAGACAAAGACAGACATTCTGTGTTGGCAACGATTCCCAAGATTGAGGATTTAAAGCCGGAACAAAGAGAATGTTTGGTGAATTTCATCAAGGGGAAAGACATTATTGTTCTTCTTTTCTACGGGATTTGGTGCATTACATACATCACGACCAAACAGCAGTGACTGGTTAAATAAAAAAAGTACCCACCTACTGTCGAGCGCACGAATCCTAATGCTGTGAGGTCAGACGGTTTCCACGAAGAGAAATCGGCTGATGAATCAGGCTAGTTTGGGGGGGCTAAGTTCTTCGATGTGGATGCTCACTTAACATGTTAATTTAGAGCAATGATCAATTCTTTCATTGTTGTAGTCACATTTTAGACACTGTGGATGCCGTTTTAATATTTTTTAGACAAAAATGAATATAAATGGGGTTAAAATCTACTACAGTTTGACCCGTACTCTAAATAAAACCACATGACACGGGTCTGTGTGTGTTCTGTGTGTGGCAGGTGAGTGATCCTGTAGCAGCAGAGTTCAGCCTGAACACTCAGCTCCTGTTACTGTCCAAGAAAACCCTGTGGCTCTCAGACGGATCCATGGGCTTCGGGCAGGAGAGCGACACCGCCTTCTCTCAAGGTCAGTCACACGGGGACGAAGAGTGGGGAGAGACATTCACTCACCTGAACTTGGTAAAGAGAATAGCATATGTGCCCTGACCAAACCCTACTAAACTAAAGGTAAAAAGGTAGATGTTAACTTGAAAACTACCACTACATGACATCACAAGGTGGAACGTATGAGCTTTGGAGATGTAGACAGACTAATAACAAAGGGTTACTCAAACATGGATTGTCTGAGGAAGCTTTGATAGTCGCTGAAATCTTAGGAGAAAAAGAAGAGAAGAAGGAGAGAGCGTTTTTAAAATAACGTCTTGAATATTGAATGGCTGTGAGTCATTCGTAGCTCGCTGTGATTGGCTGTGACTGAAAACAGGAGCGAGAAAGCGAACCGAAGCTCCGCAAACTTCAGACGCGTCAATATGTGTTTATGAAAAGTCTTGTTCCATGGCGCTCACCTCCGGATCAAACGCAGACTGAGGAGAGGAGCTGTTGAGCCGGGTTTCAGACAGAAGCCCTAAAGTGAAAGCGTTTCTCATTATTTCTCATCTCCAGCTGTTTATAAAGACAAAGCGGCAATCCAAGTGTCATTTTCCCCACTTTATCTTAAGCACAAAACAATCTCCTCACAGCAATTCCATTTCCAGTGCGTCCAGTGCTTCATTCAAAGCATTAAAGATGCACTGTGTAACTTTTTGGTTGGGGGTCTGTCACCTGCTTATGACATTACAGCTCTACCTTATATTTATTCAATTACAGGTGGTTTTACAGCTCAAAAATTACCTAGAAAAACAAACATTCTGACTGTGAGCGGGGTCGCCTCTCCACAGATCTGACCTGTAACTTGGTCTAGTTTGGTCTCCATGAAGATAGAAAGGTTTAATGCCACACTGTGAAACATTCCAGACAAAGCAATAACATCTCCATGGAGAAAAGAAGAACATTTGACGGACCCTCTACCAGAAAAGTTACACAACGCACCTTTAAGATCATTATATTTAAGATTCACACTCGTTTTCCAAATTTGGTCATTTATTTCGGTGTAAAATTTGACTTCCTTGTTGGAAATCGTCATCACACGAGGGAATTCCTTAACCGTTATCAGGCAAAATTCCCACTTTTGTACACAGAAATGATTATCTGACAAATATAAGACAGAAACTTAAAACTATTGTGTTGAAATCATGTTTATAATATCAGAAAAATGTGTTTCTTAGTTGTTAAATATGCCAAACTTTTCTACAGATTTCTCCCAGTGAATCATCATCAATACTTTTCAACTTTTCTTCACAAACTGCTTCTTGAATTGTGTAAAACTATAATTTATCTTTGCAATTTACAGTTATAATACCACCAAATTAAGTCAAAATTAGGGAATCATAAAAATCTGTCATACGCACTTTAAAGAGACCAATTATGCCTTCTTTTTTTAAAATTATTGGTTTGCCTAATAACATAGTTGCCTAAGTCATATTTGAATGTTTTCGGAAAACAAGACAAAACACATTTTTAGCAAGCATATTGGTATTTTTTTTTATTGATATTGTGTAGAGACGACTAAGACAGACAGTGATTTTAGATTCTAACAAGTGTTCTGATGACTGAGGACAAAGGCAGGGTGATGCAGCAGTGGTAAAAGAGTAAAGTTAGGCAGATATCACAATTTGGCCCAAAAAATAAAAATAAAAAATGAATTGAACACCTTTTAGTTGTATTTATCCTGATTCCGGTGAGTTTGAGTAATCTTTATTCTCCTGTATTCAAGACATCATTGTTCTGATCAGACTCCAGCCCTGGGTTTGTCTGACTTTGAAGTTATAGCTCATATGTAACTGAATTAAAGATAAAACTAAAGTACTGGGACATTATGTTTGTGTAACAGACCCAGTTCTGGGCCTGTTGGGCAGATTAAATGTTTCTGTAAAACACAAGGAAATAATGAGACAAGCAATCGTGCTGTTTCTCTTTGCCTCGCTTCTGCCATATTTATTTATACAATCATGTCAGTCATTCAATCAATGAGAACACTTTGAGCTCAATGGCAGCAAACACTCCCATCATTAGCCTTTAGTCACCGGCAATTTAAGTTTTACATATCAACCAAAACACACTGTGTTCTACCGACCGAGCTGGTCTGTTTTTAACATAGTAGTCTTTTCATCCCACGGGCACACGCGAATGCACTGCGTACCGTTACTACTGTCATGGCTTTAGCGCTTGGGCTCGTGTTTATCACGTGATCGCTTTTGACCAATCAGAGCGAGAGGAACGAGAGCGTAGCAGAGCGGAGCAGGCGCCCTTGGAGCTAACGAATATAAAGCGTTTTTTTTAAGACAACTGAAGGATTTTGAGCGAGAAAAAGTTTATGATCTAAAAATAGGTAAAAATCGCCACAAAATCCGACATTTTTGAAAGTTGTAGGTGCCCTGTCAGCCGAACACGAGCAGGTTGTGATTACATTGCCTCTATGAGAAAAAATCTTCTCTCGGCCCATGGGATTTTTTCGACTGTAGAACCACTGAGTGACACTACGTCAACTCGAGGCAGCTACAAGCAGCAATACTGTATCCAGTTATTTTAATAGATCCATGGCTGTTTCTCTTTGCCTCGCTTCTGCCATATTGGAGAGGAGGACCTCTGACCTCACGATACCGTCTCGAGGAGTCATGCGCCACCTACTGGCGTGAGGGTGTAATTACAGGTTAAATAAAGTTATTACTTAAATTGCTAATTTGGAGGCAATTTAAGTAATAACTTACTACCAATGCATACACAAAAATAAAACATAATGTGAAAACACATTACTGTGTGTCACATTTGGAACATGAGACGCCGCTTGGTTCCTCCTCAGACTCTCCAGGAGCTCAGTGATGCCCGGACACAGATCTGGGAGGACGTCCCACCAGACATCATCCGTCGTCTCATTAGGAGCTTAGAACGACACACAAGAGACAGGAAGCATTTTAAGTTGCGGAAATTACACTTGGGCAGAATGGACTCGCCTGCCACATCATTTCACTTTGATTTTCAGGGTGTCTATAAGCCCTCTGTAGGCTGAACGCTGTATTTCCATTAAAAGAGGTGTCATTCTTTTGCTCCTCAGACATTGCCTTTTTATAAATATCCAGCATATTTTTTTTCACTTTGAGATCTGATGTGTTTTCAAAGTGTTCATTTTTTTTTTAATTTTTGAGGAGTGTATTCAGAAGAAAAGCAAACTGGAAGTTGTAGCAAAATACACCAACACTACTTTTGTTCTGTAATAGACTCTATTCACGCTTAAGTCACAAACCAGGAAGATGTTTGGAAAGATGCGATGACAACTTCCCAGGCCCAGTTTTCTTCTTCTTCATGTCACTGTAGCATTTGTTATGTTTGGGTAATCAACAGTTCCAACCATACCTCAGTTTTCATCATTTCCCCACTGACACACAACTCCGAGCGCACTGGGTTCATGCGATTAGAAGAGACGAGGCGCCAAATTCAAGATGATTCCAAACAGCACATACGTCTGCAGTCTTCATTTTACCGCTGATCACATTTACTTCAGTGGGTTTTATCAGAGTCGGTCGGTGAGTCCAGTGTCGGGAACTACACTGAAAGTTGTAATTTCCAAACGTTTTCCTGATTTGTGACGTAAGCGTGAATCGAGCCTCGATGTTCTTGAAAATCAAACAAGTGTAAACATCTGACAGTGTATTTATCTGTATGTAGTCTCTATATATAGCCCCTTGTGGATCAATAAAGTTCGTCTAAGTCTAAAAATGTTTAAAAAAATGTGCTAAAATGATTATAAAACATGTATTGTGTCAATCATCAATCAATCAAACTTTATTTGTATAGCACTTTTCATACATTTGAAATGTAGCACAAAGTGATTCACATGCAACAGAAAAATTACAATACAATAATTAAAAACAACACCCCATTGTTTCATCCATATATACAACAATTTAAACATAAAAACAAAAACATAAAGCTCCTAAAGGTTATAATAAAAATCAAAATGGAGAGCTAAAATCAAATAATAATAATAATAACGATAATAATTTAAGTTAAAACAGATAAAAGTTTCAATTAAAAGCTAAATTAAAAAGATACGTTTTGAGTTTACTTTTAAAAATATGAACACTCGCAGCAGACCTCAGATCCTCAGGTCGACTGTTCCACAAACGGGGGCCATAAAAGCTGAATGACGCCTCACCTTGAGTTTTAGTTTGGACTCTTGGGACAGTTAAAAGAAGAGAGTCTGAGAGGGTTCATATAATAAAAGCAGATCAGATAAATAAATAGGACTAAGACCATTAAGAGCTTTATAAACTAATAAATAATAATAATTGTTGTTGCCGTCTATTGTATAAGCATAAGAACACTTTGACTTTGACTTTTCTGTTGTCCTTTTCAGGTGACGTGATCTACGGGCGTGTGATGGTGGACCCTGTGCAGAACCTGGGACACTCGTTCATGTGTAACATAGAAAAGGTGTTCCTGTGCACTGGGGCGGACGGATACGTGCCGAAGTACAACCCCACGCAGGGAGAGTTCGGCTGCCTGGCTGATGCGCCGTCGCTGCTCTACAGGTTCAAAATCATCGTAAGTACACTTCACAGGATTGGATTTTTGCAGCTACGGAAACAAATGACAAAGTATTTAGATTCAGGTCAGTGGTTTGAATATTTTTATCAATGGAATTCATTAATTTAAGTATTCAGACATGGCCAGGGTGGTAAACAATTTACCCTGTTCCTTTTAATTCATATTAGAGGGGGGTTTATGTGACACTTCTTGCCCTGGGCCCCCAAATTTCTGTCGACGGGCCTGAACCTGGCTGCTATTTTGTGCCTCCAACTACTCCCGATTATTCACTGACACTTATTCATACTTATAATTTACATTTTTTTGTATTTATCTGTAAAAAGGCAGCTTAAACTAATATCCTACAATTCTCAAACAAACTCCAAGTCCAAGCCGTCTCCTTTCTGATGCTATAACTGACATGATAACTTTGGCGATGGTTGTTCTACTGACATGAAACTTTAGACAGATTTGTGTTTTTACAGGTTTTCAGACATATGTGAGTCCAATTATCTAGTTTTATTCAAAATGACTGTAGGCCGTGTGTAACAAAAACTGGCATCTAAGAGGTTAATCATCTTATGTCAATTATTACCATATTTTTGGGATTATAAGGTGCACTTAAAATCCTTTAATTTTCTCAAAAATCAACAGTTCGCCTTATAATCCGGTGCACCTTATGTATTAATTCTGGTTGTGCTTACTGACCTCAAACTGATTTTATGTGGTACATGGCGCTCAAAAATCTGACAAAATGTTTTAGTACGACTTTGGTAAACTACGAAGCCGCACCGTTTGATGGATTGTTGGAGCATTACGGCTACTGTAGTCAGGAGCCTCGAAGAGTAAAGTGCGAAGTATAGCTCTGTGTCGACTCAACGCACACTTCCGCCGTCGTCTTGTCACCGTCGTTTTCGATTTATGGGTCTGTGTCGAGGTCTATGTGTCACCCTAAAAAGCACAGAATAGACTCACCATCAGCAGCTCATCGTCTGTGACAGAAAGAACACTCATATTCCACTGAGTCGTGTCCTTTTTGTCTGACAGAAGCTGTACAGCATCAGCGCACAAGGAGCGAGCTGTTTTTTCGGCACTTATAGTTTATGCAAATGAGCCATGTGGTTTTAAGTTTCATTTCTGTAAAACGTAAACAAATGTGCGCAAAGCTGCATTAAACACGTTATTACTCAGTGTGTATTTGAGTCCTCCTGGTAAGAAATTAAAAAAACTTAAATTCTCCACCCACATTCTCATTCATAATACACATTCACCAAGACAGGGAGGCAACGCCGGGCGAATTACGCCACGATTACGCCAATGGATCGTGGACGTCTGGACTAAGGGATCAGGCTCAAGTTTCGCTTAATGCGCTTTATAATCCCGTGCGCCTAATGTATGAAAATAGACGAGAAAATTCAACATTATTGATATTGCGCCTTATAATCCGGTGAGCCTTGTTGAATTGATCATGATTCAGGCGTGTTTGAGTAATCTTAATTCTCCTGTATTCAATCTTATCTGAACTGAAGTTAAAAAAAGTTAAATTATTCTACAATTAAAGGCACCAAGTTCAGGTTATTTTAGAGTACTGAAGACTACGGCAGTTCAGTTGAGGAGAGAATTGCTTTTAACCTTAAGCCTACGACTACATGAGCTTTGGTGATGTGGACAGACTGAAAGAGAACTCAAAACATGTGCGAATGGAAAAAAAACACAACTCCAGGTATGTTTTTGAGGAGATAACAGCATTATAATGTGACTAAAAGCTCACATCAGTCAGTTTTGCGTAATATAAGACCTTTAAGATAAATTATTTCCCTTTTTTCTCTCTAGGACAAGGCCCAGCCGGAGACGCAGGCACGCTCCTTTGGCAGTGTTGCGTTCAATGCCCTGCTGGCGGTGGACGATCCCAGCGCTCTGCCTCTGGTCCGACAGCCAGGATCAGACGGATTCAAGCTGGACTCCACGGCTCTGTTCCAGGTAATGGGCAGGAAGGCAGCACACATTTATAGTTTGGGGTGCAGACTTTTCTGGTACAGGGTTTGTCAAATGCTTTTGTCCGTGCAGATGTTGTTGTTTTGTCTGGAATGTTTCACAGTATGGCATGAAACGTTTCTATCTTCATGGAGACCAAACCAGACCAAGTTACAGGTCAGATCTGTGGAGAGGCGACCCCGCTCACATCAGAATTGTTGAGCTATAAAACCACTTGTAATTGAATAAATGTAAGGTGGAGATGTTTAATGTCAAACTGAATCAGTGTATCATTTGTTCATTCATTTTTCAAAACAAAAAACAACAATTTTCTTCATTATTTGTTTATAAAACCAAAATGAAAAAAAAAGGATAACAATTTAACAAAAAATCGAAAAACTGAAAAAACTAAATGGATAATGGAAAAAACAGATCATGTTTCCCGTTTTTGTGACTTAAACTGCGATGCCGGATTTTGCACCACATACAGACTGAACCAGGACTATACTAGGACTATACCAGGACTATACCAGGACTAAACCAGGTCTGGGACCAAGACCAGGACTGAGACCAGGACTGAGTCCGGGACCGGGAATAGGACCAAGACTTAGACCAGGACTGAGACCATAACTGAGGCCGAGAACAGTACTAGGCTTGAGACCATGACCAGATCGGGAACAGGACCAGGACTTAGACCGGGACTGAGACAATGACTGAGACCGGGACTGAGACCGGGACTGAGACCGGGACTGAGACCGGGACTGAGACTGGGACTGAGACCGGGACAGGACCGAGATCGGGACCAGACCAAGGCTGAGACCAAGACCAGACCAGGACTGAGACCGAAACCAGAAGGGACCAGACCAGGATTGAGACCAGGATTGAGACTAGGACCAGACCAGGACTGAAAATGGTTTTGGTTCGGTCCTGGTTCATTCCGTACGCTGCACAAACGTCCGACATCGCAGTTTAAGTCACGGAAATCGCCGATATCTGTTTTTTTCCATTTTTCATTTTCACACAAAACCGAAAACTGAAAAAACGAATCCTTATGTGTTTTTTCATTTTGGTTTTGGAGACAAATAATGAAGAAAATTGTTGTTTTTTAAACTTTCTTATTTTTGGTTTTATATTGAAAAACGAATGAACGAACGATACACGGATTCATATTGTGGAACATTGCCCCAACCAAAAAGTTACTCAGTGCAACTTTGACATGTTAATTAAGTCTTTTATGGACATAACATGGAATAATTCTTTTATTATCGTCTCATTTTGAACTCTTTGTCTTTGCCGTTTGAGCATTTTTAGTCAAGACTGAATATTCTTTGAAAATGGGTCAAAAATCCTTGGGGAAGCTGTGGGGGCGCAACGGACATTCAAGGGAAGACTAGTGCCCCACATTTCATAAACAAAGACTCTTTCCAAAGTGCTGCATAGAGACAAAAAAATCTACAATTTAATACAATAAAAACAACAGTGTAAAAACAAACAAATTAAACCGTAAAATAGACCCATAAGAATAAAAAAAAATCAATAAGACAAAACAATAAAAGTGAACAGAGGAGCACACAACTCACGCGGTGTTAAAAGCCAGAGAATAAAAGTGGGTCTTAAAGGTCTTATATTACACAAAATTGACTCTTGTGAGCTTTTATTTTTGTCAGTTTTGTACATCTCAGCTTTTCTTTTTTGCATAACTTTGGCTGTATTGCATCCAGTGTTATGCAAGTTCACAACAAACTGACTTCTGAGTAAACTGTGTGTATATCATGTCCGAGATGGTTCATGTTTTCAGAGATCAGACGTGTGCAGGTTTAGTCATTTCACTCACTTTATTTATGTTGGTCACTTTATTTATTTTGGCTCCTGTTGTGATGAAAAGACTGAAAAGTGTTTGTCTTTTGGATGCATATGGGTCCGGTCAAGCGGTAACGGAGGGAAACAGATTTTTTACATTCAAATGTCTCTTATTCAGAAACTAGAGGGACTATTGAAATAAGTAAAGTATCAGAATGTAGGAAAGAGTTACACTCCAACGGGGTAAAGTTAAACCTGTGATATTCTTTCAAGTTGTTGACAAAAAATTTTAAAACTCCGTCAGTAAAGGAGGGAATGAAATATGCAGCACTTTTTGGGCAATAAATACAAACAGTGATAACTCTTGGTTCTCACTTACATATCCTTAACAAACTGGTTTGAATATTTGCTTCATATAGTTTTCTACCATATGGTACAAGATTAGGTTGAAAAACCTCTTACTTTTTGAGTCATGAGATTTTTTATTAAGAAAGGTCATGGTAACGGAGGGAAAAGTAACAGAGGGAAAATTGTGCAAACAAGTAGAAGGTGCAGGATTTTGCATAATTTGTCGCTTTTTTCTTCTGAATACTTTAATATTACTTCAAAATGAAAGGAAACTATTTCTATAAAATATGTCAGTCCTTCCAAGCAATTTTTTTATCATTTTAAATCTTTTTTTTTTTTTTTAATCATGTACCTTCATCAACAGTTCAAAGATGGAATAACACAAGATATGATGAAATACATCCATTTATTGACATGATTTTCAGGTCTTTGAAATTTGGGAAATAATTTTTGTTCCATGTTTCATACATGGTCTGTTTAAAACGTATGTAACTTTAGAACCAAAAATGGTACAGAAAAAAGGTAAACAGTTTCATAAACTAGAGTACATATGTATCTGTTCAATACATTTTTATATCAGATGCATTAACTTGAATTTTTGGCCTTGCTGTTTACTTCTGCTTGACCGGCCCATGTGCACTCAACTTTATGTTGCAGTAACCAGGATACTGCGTTTACATGCACCATTATGAAACCGAGATGCTCAAAAAACCCCAATCATACCCGGCACACTGATGTGCATGTAAGAGCATTCAGTGAGTGGTACAGTGTCTCCAAGGAGGAGCCAGAGATGAAACGTGGGACTGTGAGGCCGCAACTCCAGTGTTGGCGCTGTCAGACGCAGCCTCGTCTCCTTACGCTACGCACAGCAACCTACATTCGGTTTGTCGATTCAAAATGAACATGCTCGACGAATTTTGTTACAGAAATCGTTTGTTTGCAGAGTTTGCGTCTGTTTTTACTTCCCGACCCCCATTTGCTTTTTGTGATGTCGACATGTCATCCGAAACCAGCAATATGGTTCTTTAAGGTGTAGTTATTTATTATGAAGTCATGTTGTATTTTAAATCAAAATTAAATGTAGTAAAACATAGTATATAGCATAAAATGAAAAAATGAAACTGCACTCACATACACTCACCTGTGGATTTGGGTTACATCAGGCGCTTTGGTGTTTTATCCGTCTTTTGGTTGCATTTAAAACTCCTTCATGTTCTTTGGATTTGATAAAAAGAGTTTTGAGTTCACTTCAGAGGATGAGATGGAGTCCTTGTTCTTAAGCTGCTCTGGCCTCCTTAGACGAGTCTGAGTGGGGGAGAGAAGATCAAATGTCCTCATATACTGGCCCACTCAACCATATCTGTCTGGAACGTCTTTTTTAGTTTTAACAGGCTTCAGTGAAGGAGAAATCTGTCTAAAGGTCCATATTAAACTATTTTCAGATTTATGTTATAATGGTTCTTCTTCACAGACAGACCTGGAGTTGAGTTTTGTTTCATTCACACATGTTTAACACACAAATCCTGCATATTTAGGCTGAGTTCTTCTCCTAAACAGAAAACACTCAGTTACACCTTGTGACGTCATGTACAGGAAGTGCTCCAATATGTTTTTAAACTCCATACACCTTCACTAGAATCATTTGGATCATTTCAGGCTTGGACTTAGGGCTGCTCAATTATCATATCACGATTATTTTGCTCAATATTGAAATCACGATTATTCAAACAATTATTTTTTAGTTACATGATGCATTTATTCAGCATTTCTCTCCAAAAAAACAAACAAAAAACCTTTGTTATTGATAATATGCACAAAACTTTCAATTGAAAATAAATATAGGCTACAAATATATGAACCTTAGAGCAGTTTTGCGATATATAAAACATAAAATAAACTTCGAACATGAAAAAAGGCACAGAAAAATATAAATGTATCCAAACTGAACTATTTATCCAGCTATTCAACAATTTCCATATTTAAAAAAATAAAATAAATATACTTAAAAATATCCCAAAATATACTTTCAAGCTTTAAAGGTTGTATGGAGGATTTTTTTTTTTGTTTCAAATTGTCAGTGAAAGTTTTAAATACCATTACAGAGACGCAGCAGCTTTGTAATTATAATGACCAAAAAAAAAAGAATGAAAATCTATCAACTGTGGACGTAGTGAGGACAGATAAACATCAGCCAATAGAAAACGAGGCTCCCTCATTTTCTATTGGCTGTTAGGTTGTCAATCAAACTCCCTAGTGTAACTGAGTCGTCGGCGCGCAGGGATTATGTGGTTTACGCAGCGGTTCTTAGAGGCTTTTTCAAACTGTAGCTTCCTCGCATTTCGCACAAAGTTTGTCGCGATGGCGGACGAGAATCCACGACCAGTTCGCCGCAAAAGAAAGTCCGTTTTTGAGGTCGCTGAAAGAAGAAGAGAAGGAGAAAAGGAGCGAAGACAAACTGAGGTGATTCTTGGAGATTCCTTCCACCGATGGTGCGACTGAAACAGACGAAGGGTCTAAAAACTGACGCATCGGTCACTAAATTACCTCTAGACAGGAAACTTCAACAGTAATTCTGAACGCGCACAAGGACTGTCGCTGTATTTCTCTTCCCTTAAAAAAATCCTCTATACAACCTTTAAATCTTTTCAACTTGATTATATGAGTCAATCAAAATTCAATTAATTGCAAAGTAAAATTGTAATTCCTGACCTGGAGTTGCAAATTGCTACTGAACTAAAGGTAAAACGTAGCTGTTAATTTGAAAACTACCACTACATGACATCACAAGGTGGAACAGAGTATTTTGAGCTTTGGAAATGTAGACAGACTAACAAAGGATTACTTAATTAAACATGTGTGAATGAAACAAAAGTCCATGTTTATGTGGAGGTAACAACAATATAGCACGGCTCAAAGCTTAGAAAGAATCAGATTTGTGTTATTTTGCAGTGGTCCCCAATGTTTTTTTGCATCATGGACTGGTTTAATATCAGACAATATTTTCACAGACCGTCCTTTAAGGTGTGGTGGATAAATACGACAAAATAAAATGATACGACCGAGCCAAAAACTGGTATTTTGGAAATATAATAATAAACATTTCCAAAGATGTCCGTTTTTTAACTCATTTTGCAGCTTGTGGGTTTAATGTTTAGCGTTAATGTATCAGAGACAAGTGTCATGACCAGTGTTGGGAATAACGGTTTTTAAGTGTAACGGCACTTTTAACGGCACTATATTTTCGGTAATAGAGTATCTAATTAATTACACTCCCCATTGTTAGAACGCTGTGATCATTACTGGGAAAGCAAAGTGACGTGTTACAGTTGTGTTGAATGAGGCTAAGAAGTTGGGTGGGCGGAGTCTCTGCTCACATTGCCGCGTCGTTTCTTTCCCTCTCACTTCGAGCTAAATGAGACAAACTCTAACGAAACCGCGACAATGGCAACGACGAGCCAGAGACGTTCAAAGGCAGCGTTTTCAAACTGGAAATACCGACAACATTTCTCCCTCAATGAAATAAAGGGCAAGAATGTGGATGTGAAGTGTAACTGTGGCCTTTAACTTCTTAGGTTCTTTTTAAAGACAATGCAGTAAAGTGTATTTACCTTGTTGACATGTTTCGGCTGCTCGCTGCAAGCCATCTTCAGAACTGTAGAACTATTTCAGTAGTAAGAACACTATTCGAACGGGCCACACTCATCACAGACCGACAGGGAGGAAGAGGAGAGACACATCATACAAGCACTCAAACAATGTCAGTATCCCAGCTGGGCCATAAACAAAGGTAGACAACAAGTTATCAATAAAACCAACAAACCCCGGAAAAAAACACAACAATGCAACACAGGGCAGCAGGACCACAAGAACATAGTCACACTACCGAACATCAGAGGAATAACCGAACCCATCCAGAGAGCCATGAAAACACACAACATAAGCACTGTAGTAAAACCATACACAAAACTCCGCCAACTACTCGTACATCCCAAGGACAAAATCCCACAAGAACAAAAATGCAATGCCATCTACGAAATCCAATGCAAATCATGCAATAAATCATACATAGGGGAAACAGGCCGGGCATTTCACATCCGAAAAAAGGAACACCAAAAGGAATGCGAAAAGGAAACGTCAGGGAGACTCACCAGAACACAAAAAGACAAAGCAGAACAGGAAAACCTAAAATCCGCCATATCAGACACTGTAAAAGGAACAACCACATTATGGATCGGGACGGGGCTCGGGTCATTGGATCGGAAAACAACAAGTTCAAACGCTGGATCAAGGAGGACACTGAAATCAGGAAACGAGGCACGGACAGGATTAACCGTGATGACGGAGCGTTCCTCCTTTCACACACCTGGGACACCCTCCTCCAGAGACACCGGGCGACGGGAGGCGTGGTCAGTCTGAGCGACCTGCCAGGTCCATCAGGCTGACCACGCCTACAGGAAGTAACAACAGCTGATATACGACACGTCACCACTAACACCGGTGACAGTTCTGAAGATGGCTTGCAGCGAGCAGCCGAAACATGTCAACAAGGTAAACACACTTTACTGCACTGTCTTTAAAAAGAACCCAAGAAGTTAAAGTATATAAGAAGACATAATGAACATCATTGGCGTAACTGTGGCCTGTCCACGTCTGCCTCAAGTAACTCGAATCTAAAGCAGAGCCTCACATCGTCACGTGCTCACACACCTCACTCTGCTGTTCACCCCAAGTCCCAGTGCAGTGAGCCTGAGCTCCAGCCAATTTGGAGAAGGAGCCACTGCATTAAAGCCAAACTCGGTTTTTCGGGCAGTAGTACATGACATGAAAAATAACTAGATAATTACTTTGCTGAGTAATTAATTACTTTTACAGTATGGTACTAAGTTACTAACTCTATTTCTTTATGGGGAAAGTAATTTGTAATGGTAACTAATTACTTTTTTTTATGTAAAATGCCCAACACTGGTCATGACCTGCATCAAGAGTGAGTCAGACGGATGTAACAGACAATTCGGTCATTGTTCAAAATAAAACATTGTTCAGACTAGGGATGGGCATTCGATTATTCGATTTTCTTAATCGATCGTCGGGAGAATTAACGATCGATTATCGATTAATCATTAACGTTTTTTATATTCAAATTTATCATCATTAGTATTACTATCTGCACTACTAATCTACATAAATAAATTCAAGTTTACGACATATAAACCGTAACGACTCTAGAGCCACATCAGCCCGTTTGACATTATAATTGTGTTTAATTCAGTTTTGCGCAACTCTCACAGAAACGTAAACTTAAAACCGCATGGCTAATTTGCATAAACCAAGCGAAGAAAAAAACAGCTCTTGTGCGCTGATGCGACACGACTCAGTAGAATACAGGTTAGTGTGACCATATTTGCGTTTGTCAAAACCAGGACACCGTACGGGGGGAGGGAGGTGGGGACTCGTCATTGACATTGCGCGACTCTCACCTGGTAAAGCTTTTTCCCACTGGACACCGAAACATATGTGCTGCTTTGTTCACTGTGCACATGGCCTCACACTTGTCCCGAACGGAACAGAAAGCGTGGAATTTCTTGCACAAATGCGTATTTAACGATGACTTGTACTTCGGCACGTTGCAGACTGACCGACTGTTTGTGTCTCGCTCCTTCTGAGTGCAGAGAGACACATGTACGGACCCCTGTTTGTTCACCCTATGCTACACAGCAACCTACATTCAGTTTGTCGATTAAAATTAACGTAATCGATGAAATTCTTAATGATCAATTATCGATTAATCGACGAATCATGCCCATCCCTTGTTCAGACTCAGATGATAAATAAAACAGAAATAAAGTAAGTTATTTATTCTTTCTGTGCAGCCTTGTACCACACCACCTGGACTGGAGACTGGTACAAGTGGTTTTATAGCTTAAAAATACCCAGAAAAAAAACAGGCACCACTGATCTGACCTGTAACCTGGTCTGGTTTGGTCTCCATGAAGATAGAAAAGGTTTAATCCGATATTGTGAAACATTCCAGACAAAGCAGGACAAAAACATTTGACGGACCCTTCACCAGAAAAGTTACACGATGCACTTTTAACTAAACATTTTTCTTCTTCTCTTCCAGGTCTCTGCCGGTCGCGAGTGGTACATCCACACCATCTACACCGTGCGCTCCAGAGAAAGCTCCAACCGCGGAATCGGCAAGAGGAGCCTGGAATACCACCACGCCCTCTCCTCGCGCCCCAACCACGGCCGCCACCTTCTGTCCAAACGCTCCGGCCAAGACCTCCCGGACATCGCGGACCAGATCGGCGAATCCAACAACCGCGGGACCAACATCCTGCACATCGCCCTGGACCGGAGCAGCCAAGTCCGAACCAGCCCGGAGAAGGAGGTGATAACCAAAGGGATCATTCCGAGAGAAGTGAACCAAAACAGAGACAGCGACGATAAGTTAGTGCTCATCATCGGAGTTCTGGTGGGGCTGCTGCTCACGGTGCTCATCGTAATCTTGGTGGTTTTACTGGTGAGGTCCAAACGCGGCCGAAAGGACACGCCCAAAAATTCGACCAGCGCGGAGCCGATGGTGACGCAAGGAGGCAACGACAGCTCGGAAGTTTGACGGAGAAGATACAAGACGAGAATAATGTCTACGTGAGTTAAAAAAAAAGGCTGGAATTCAGAATTTAATCTTGATTTGAGAATTTTTTTTAGCTTTTTTCCCATTTTCGCTTGAATTAATTGTTGTAAATTTAGCATTTTCATTCAACGTTTTAGTTTTGTCCTGGTGCACTGTGTAACTTTTTGGTTGAGGGTCCTTCGCCTTCTTGTTTCCATGGAGATGTCATTGCTCTGGAATGTTCCACAGTGTGACTTTAAACAGCTCTACTTTACATTTATTCAATTACAAGTGGTTTCATAGCTCAAAAAAAACTTAAAAATTCAGGGATTCTGATTGCGGGCGGGGTCGCATCTCCACAGATCTGACCTGTAACTTTGTCCGGTTTGGTCTCCATGATGATAAAAATGTTTAATAACACACCGTGGAACATTCTAGACAAAGAAATAAAAGCATTTGTTTTAAAGCTCAAAAATCCCTAAAAAAAAATCAGGCGTTCTGACTGAGCGGGGTCGCCTCTCCACAGATCTCACCTGTAACTTAGTCTAGTTTGGTCTCCATGACGATAAAAATGTTTAATATCATACCGTGGAACATTCTAGACAAAGAAATAAAAGTATTTGACAGGACTTCCACCAGAAAAGTAACACAATGCACCATGAAATACTGAATTTTGTAAAATAGTTATAATTTTTTGAAAGGTATTTTTTCATTTTCTCAAATTTTTATTGTATTTTTGCCAATTAAATTGCTAATTTTGGTTTGGTTTTATTGTTATTATTTTTTTAAGATGGTTACTCCTTTTTTGTCAAAGATTACCAACTGCATACCATTGGGAATTGGCAAATTTTTATGCCAGATGCCCTACCTGGCTGTCACAAACCGTCCTTTACTTACTTAATCAGCTCAAATCAAGACTTATATTCTGAATTGAAGTTGTTTTAATTCACGCAGATATTCGTTTGTCTGTAGATTTTTTGTTTTGCAAGTGCCTCAAATGACGATGAACAGATTGTGTGGAACTATTGAAACTTTGGAGTGCGGTTTTACTTGAAAAATGACGTAATTTCTTCCATGAAAGAGAAAAAAAAGAGAAAGAGACTTGTTTCATTCACAAAGACGGCGCTACAATGGACTGGTAAAAGTTGGAAAGTTAAAAGAATGAATCGTGATGAAATTTCTGTAATGATTTCCAATTTAAAAAAAAAAACAACCCAGAGTCCAAAGAATGTAATTATAAAAAAAAAAAAAAAAAAGAGTTTTAAAATGTGTTTGGGCCTATTTACAACGCAGGATTAACATTTCAATTTGTATTATTATTACTTTTTTTGTTTACTTTTACAGGTGCACTATGTGACTTTTCGGTGTCCGTCGCCTTCTTGTTTCCATGGATACGTCATTGCTCTGCCAGGAAAGTTCCACAATATGACTTTAAACAGCTCAACCTTACATTTATTCAATTACAGATGCTTTTATAGCTCAAAAATACCTAGAAAAACAAACATTTTGACTGTGCGCGGGCGTCGCCTCTCCTCAGATCTGACCTGTAACATAGCCCGGTTTGGTCTCCATGACGATAGAAAGGTTTAATGCCACACTGTGAAACATTCCAGACAAAACAATGACGGACCATCCACCAGAAAAGTTACATAATGCGCTTTTAAGTTTGTCCCAAAGCGGTAATATCGTAGAATTCTAACAGGCCTTGTGCGCAAAATAATCCAAATTTAGGACCGTCACCATAGCGATTAACAATATACGGTAGCTTTTGATTGGGAAAAGTCTGGATCGTTTCAAATTGTGACATTAAAACGCTTTGTTCAAATCTGCTGGCAGGATTTTAAAAAAGGTTTACGGTTTTCGGTTTTGAGTCGTTTGCCCACCTCAACTTTAAAGCTGCACTGAGTAACTTTTCTACTGTGGAGAGTCCGTCACCGGCTTCTCTCCGTGGAGATATTGCCTGGAATGTCCCACAGTACGGCATTACACTCTTTTAGCTCTACGGAGACAGCAGGTGACGCCGCAGAGCCAGGTTACATGTCTGATCTGTGGAGAGGCGAGCCCAAACACAGTAAGAATGCATGTTTTTAGGTCAATAAAAAAAAACGATATTATGAAGTAAATGTAGGACAGATATGTTTAATGCCATACACTGGGACAAAGCAACAACATCTCCATGGAGACAAGCAGGTGGTAGAAAAGTTACACAGTGCAGCTTTAACTCTGACTTTATGTTAAACCTGCTTTGTGACACCTTCGCTTACAAAAAAAAAAAATAATTGCTGCTTTTTGTAGTTAAAAGCAGCCGGGCGTATGATAGATGGTGTGTTACTGCCCTCTTGTGGTTAAGGCAAGACACTGCTGGTGATGTTTTTTTTTTTTTTTTTTTTTTTTGACATGAATTTGAAACCTTTACTATAAATTACTGACATAAAAAAGGAATTGACTATCAAAATGATGTATTATGTAATAAAATAGGCATGTCATGTTCAATTTTTTGCATTTTTGGATAGAAGAAAAAGAGCAACCATTTTCATTTTAACACTGGAAAATGTCAATAAATCTGGAAATTTCTGTTAAATTCTGCAGTGTGTGAATGAAATTTGATGGAGAAAGCGCTGGAGAGTTATTTAAATGTTTTTTTGTTTAATGTTTTGCATGCGGTTTTTTTATACATTTGTAACTGAAATCATCTGTTTTAAGTTTTATTGCGGTTTTAATTTGTATGTTTGCATTTTTTTTGTTGAAATTTTTGTTCTGAAATCTTCACAAACTCAGTATTGACCGAACGAACACTGACTAGAGAGACACTTGAAGCCAGCTGGTCTGCAATGTACAATAACAATTTTAGATTTTAGTTTTAAAAATTCACTATTTGGGGATTTAAAAATTATGTTGCTGTTCTGTGCTAAAATACTCTTCCGTTATTCTGCTGTTGCTTTGTCTGGAATGTTCCGCAGTGTGACTTTAAACCTATCTATCTTTCATGTATTCAATTACGAGAAATACTTACAAATGTGCATTCTTACGGTGATTAAGCGTCGCCTCTCCACAGATCCGACCTGTAACATGGCCTGATACATAGATAAGTTTAAAGCCACACCTTGGAACCTTTTCTACATATGCATTTGAAACCAGAAAGTGCTCCTCTGTGTTTTTAAAGTCCATACACACTCACAGAAACCATTAGCCAGGCTGCTAATTTGTCATCTCGAAATGTCTCACTACTCAATGTTGCCAGCAGAGGGCGCCAGATATATATATATTTTTTTTGCGTAATTTACAGATTCAAAATTGTACCAGTTTGTGAATACATGCATCACGAATCTCGGACTTCCGGTCATCGCACAATGCATACTGGTAAGGATTTTCTGAAAAAGTGAGCATTAAACCACCATGTTTGTTTTCCCAGTGGGATGCGTCTATTGACAAAGTCGATCTTTTCAAGTCTTTTGAATCATATCGCTTTTGTTTCTGGTTCTGATATTGTCGTATTTTAGTTTTGGGATTCGGACATCGTTAATTGTTTGGTTGTTGGATCCTAACAGAAGAAAACGGCTTGAGAAATGTGTTTGCGAACTCCATAAATGCAAAAGGGAATCAGATCTGTGTGACTGCAAACCTCCGTTCAAACTGTTTCCCTTCCCGACGGAATTGAAAAATAGTGAAAGGTGAAGGCGATGGGCAGGATTGATCCACGGGAAGGACGAAAAGGAAACTTTTGACTGCCTAAATCATCCTGAGTTTGCAGCGAACATTTTGTACGTGTAGCACCATCAAAACGGGACCATGTTTGTTAAGCGAGAGGTGCAGAAGACAAACAGGCCGAGCTCACACTTTCTTGTTCTTGTGGTTTTACAGCAACATCACGTCTCGGTCTCTTTGCAGTTGAAGGTGTTTCTTGGTGAACAGTTGGTGCCTTTCGCTTTGGCGTTGACTTTTTAAATTCATAACCGAGGTGGAGCGAGGGATCGGGATTTTGATTTGATGGCGCTTCACATACAAAATGTTCTCTGCAAACTCGGGATGATTCAGGCAGTCAAAATTTCCGTTTTCGTCCTTCCTGTTGATCAGTCCTGCCCATCGCCTTCGCCTTTCACTATTTTTCAATTCCGTTGGGAAGTAAAACAGTTTGAACAGAGGTTTGCAGTCACACACATCTGATTCCCTTTTGCAGTTATGAATTTCACAAACAAATTTCTCAAGCCGTTTTCTGCTGTTAGGATCCAACAACCAAACAATTAACGATGTCCAGATCCCAAAACTAAAATATGACAATATCAGAACCAGAAACAAAAGCGATGTGGTTCAAAAGACTTGAAAAGATCAGCTTTGACAAGAGACCCATCCAACCGGGAAAACAAACATGGCGCATTGATGCTCACTTTTTCAGAAAATCCTTCCCAGTATGAATTGCGCGATGACCGTAAGTCCGAGATTCTTGGTGCGTGTATTGTAACAAGTTTAGACGCCTCTGGTTTTGGACTCTAGCTAGAAGGTTAACCACTCCCTGTAATTTGTTGTGTAGGTACTTTTTATTGTTTATTAATTTGTCGTTCTCATCAATGTTTATGGCTAGAATTTCAAGATATTTTGATTTTAAGATCAGATTACCTCATTTCTGTTACTTATGACACTTTTCTAACGGCACTTCTGAAATCTTGATTTGATTTTGATTTGAAAACCTCTATGCAATATTGTGATAGGTTGAGTAAAAGTACTACGACTACTGGAGTATAAGTACTACAAAGGACTACTGCGTACAGACTGGGAGATGCACATGTATGTAGTGTATATATTGTGTATGTATTATCTATACTTTGTTGTTCTGTGTTGGGAATGGCCGTGTGCTACTGTAACTATTTGTACCATAGACCTGGAAAAAACAGGGTCAGAACGTTTTTCAATAAAATTTTTGCTAAAATCTGGATTTTTTTGGAAATATTTTTAATTCCAGTTTGCAATTTAGACTTTTTACACTATTACGTTTATAGATATTTTAG